ATTATGGAACTAATTCGAGCTAATTGGAGCTTTGAAGTCTGAGTAAAGGCCCAAAGGAATAAGTCGGAATCGTGTTCAGGGGTCGAGAATCACTTCTAGGCATCGAAAATTCAAGGAAGAATAATCTGCTGAAAAATACACTGGTGCGGCACACTGGACGACACATAGTGCGACGCATCAGAGTAAAAATATTTCAGAAAATAGTAAATTTAAGAGACTGGGTTTTTGGGTCTGTCAGGATAAAGCACTAATGCTACGCACAGTGCGACGCATGAAATACAATAAGTTTGCAAGTTTTTCTATTTCGGCTAGGAAAGGGTAATTTCGTTTGGGCCCGACCCTACTTGGTATAAATACATGAAAAAGCGGTATTTTCTGGACTTTTGACATATCTAAGATGTAATGAAGCTAGAGAGAAGGTGAAAAAGCCAAAGCACAAGGAATGCATCATTCAATCCTCACTCAAGACAAGAGTTTGGATCGTTTAATACTTTTCTTTATCTATGGAGTGGTCCTCTTCGAGGATTGATGGATTTTGTGTGTTGATTATTGCTTGTGAATATTAACTCTAGTTTTTATGTATTGAATTATTTTGGGTGATTTAATTATTGCATCTATATTTATATGTTCATGTAATCGAGAGAGGCATAACTTGTAATATTTTTGCATTATCTTGTTGGTTGAATTCATTGATTCTTCTTAGTAATCAAAAGAGGCTAGTTAAATTATTGTTTAGACCTAGTTAGGAAGATAATCGGAAGAGGTTCTCCTAAAGACCAGTCCACTACGAATTCGTGCATATCTTTACGGAGCATAAATTGGTTCATATTGTGAGGTTGAGACTTAATCGAGAGAGGAGTTTCTACTAAATATTTATACTAATAATTGAGTGAATTCGATAGACTCACTAGAACATTAGAAGTGAATTAACGCAAGTTAAATCCCAGACAATTATCTTGTACCTATCCAATCAACCCCTATTTTCTCCTATTGATATCTTTTTTGCTTAATTTTGTTCAATTGTCATTAGTCAATTAGATCTAGAGTCTTAGTTAATTTTAGTTCTTAATCATATAATCTCAATTGTTGATCATCTTGGATAGCAATCTAGCTACAAACTACGAAAATATTGTTTAACTCCAATCCTTGTGGATACGATAATTTTCTATACTATCTTTGACTAGCGGGCATATTTAGGTGTGTTTTGAGCTCGTCAATACAATTCCCCTACTTAAAGATAAACCTTTGTTTCACCATCATTAGAAACAAAAATAGAAAAAGAAAGAAAGAAACTCCATCACCCGAGTGCTTCCACCTGACGACGGCTTCACCACCGCCAATTCTTCAAATTCCAGAAACAATACTTCACTACGAGAAATACTTTCTCTTCGCCAATGCTTCCACCTACACTAATTTTCTCAATTTTAGAAAACAAAACTCCATGAATATTTCTCATAATGAAGTAACAGAGAAGAAATTTGGAGACTAAAGTATCTGAGTATGAATTATTTGTATTTACTGCCACTTGAGCTGGCATATTTCAACCAATGTGGTATGTTCCCTTACGTCATTAGGAATTTGAACAAAAAGGGAGTTTGATCGAATAGGTGCCATTGGAATGGGTGATAAATTTTCGTTCTTTACTGCTTCACTTTGGAATGGTCCCGTGAAATTTTCAATGGTAAAAGTGCATCAATTTGTCGTACTTCAATTATTGTCAAGTTTTGGTTTCGTTCGATTTCGAGCCGTCGATTTCCATCTTCTTCATTCTTGTTTTTTTACTTTCTATTAGGTTAGGAAAGTGACTATGAAAGATGAGGAAGATGGACCAGAACTTGGAAAATATTTCAGGAGAGCAGGTGGTGGTGGTGGCTGAAGAGGAGAAGGAGTTGCGGTAGTGGGTGATGTGGTACAAATTCTTGGGTCAGGTAATAGGTAAGATAATGGGTAGGTATTTAATTAGAGTCGGGTATTTAAAATCGGGTGTGGGTCTTTTTGTTCCTGAGCTACCACGTGGCACTCCGCCTAAATTAGGGGCAAATCAGTGCCAATAGTATAACGGTATGGAGTTAATTGGACGAATAGTATAACGGATGGTATATTTAAACTATTTTAAAAAGTACAGGGATATATTTGACCCTTTTTCGTTTAAACTTTGGTTGAAGCAGTAATCTTGGAAATCAAAGAAGTAGACATGTATTACTACTCAACAATGAAATCAAAACTTATAGATATGTCTTCTGCTAGAGAAGAAGCTAACTAGCTTAGAAGTATGTTGATCGATATTCCTCTATAGCGTAGGCCAATGCCACCTTTGACTATCTATTGTGATAACAAAGGTGCTATATTTCGAGCTTCAGGTGATTGTTATAATGGCAAATCAAGGCGAATCGTCTCAAACACAATCACGTGAGAAGATTATTGGAGGATGTCATAATATTCCGTCAATTTGTGAAGTCCAATTTCAATTTAGTCGCAATATTTGGTGGCGAAACCTTGTAAGAGGATGGGATAAAGCCTGTTTTAAATCAATTATACTTAATGGAAACCTTGGCTAATATTATTATCTAGGTTCAAAGGGATAAACAAGTAAAGTTACAATGGTTGAGCACATCAATAAAACTCTTATTTCCTGAAAATAATATATATATATATATTAGTTATTCAACGACCCCCTAAGAAGAATTCTGGAATATTTTCTGTCCCAAAGTCCAAACAACCTCAGCTTTCATTTAAAAATAAGTGTTTCGTGTAGTTGTCTCCAAAAAATACCTAGACTTCTATTGGATTTAGTTCCCATAGGGATGAGGTTACTCAAGAAATAATAAGGACAGTGATCGAACGTATGATGCGCAGGGCCGTACCAGCATCGATCCCGGCGACAATCAATATTGGAAGTAGAAGTGTACAAAGAAAATCGATAAAGCGCACCAAATCGATAATTCGAGTCAAACCGGAAAAAAAAACCCGATGTGATTTGGTTTGGTTTTGAAAAATAAAACCCGACCATAATTGGTTTGGTTTGGTTTTAACTAAAAAAATTCAAATCGAAACCTAACCAACCCGATAGTACATTTATATAACTTTTAAAAATATTTTTTATATATAAATATTTATTGTAATGTAATTTATAAATATTTCTTAAATTTTTTCACAGTTTTATCTTTTAACATATTATTTCAAGTTTAGACTTAACATTCTTGAATGGTAAATAAGTTTTTAAGCCCATAAATGTAGTAACTCAAACAAAGTTCAAATCAATACTAATGCTAAAAAAAGAAATCAATTCAATACTAGGAATGACGATAGTGTTGGATAATTATTTTAGTTTTACATTGGTTTATAATGAAAATGCATAACTTAGTTTATCTTTTTCTTTAGTGCTTATTTATGTAATTAATATTAGTACTTATTAGTTATACTTATGTTAGTATGATCTATATAGTTTTTTTAGATTATGTTAATTTTCATTATGGCTTATTAATTAGCAATATTTGTTTTATGTAATTTTATTATTTTATCTTTGTTATTGAATATTTTAGTATAATGCTATGACTTATCTCATATTATTATGTTAGTTTCTTGAAAAATGCATTATATAGTTGCATTTTACTAGGACTTAAGAAATATTTGGAGCACAATCTACATATTTTATGCTATGAAGACTTTACCCGAAAAAACCCGAAAAATTCGAGAAAAACCGAGATTGAAAAATCCGACTTTGTTGGTTTGGTTTGATTTATAAATTTAAAAATCCGACACTATTGATTTGGTTTGACAATTGAAAAATTCGAACCAATCTGTCCTATGTACGCGCCTGAAAGTACNCCCGCAACTCCATTTTCCTCACCAAAGGAACTTCTGGGAAAAAAATGTATTCCTTGTCATTATAAGACTTTACTTTAGATGGAAAACAAATGTGTTCCATGTGGTATAAGACTTCAACAATAGATTGAAAATAAATGTGTTCCATGTGGTACAAGAAAAAGAACATGGATAACCCAAATACAAAAGTTAGCTCACAATGTAAGCATTACCTCAAAGACTCTATAAGGAGAAAATAATTCATTCCCTCCACTAATTTGGGACTCGCTAACACTCTGCCACTCCGAGCTGGATATTTGAGCATGAACATCATATATAAAATGAGGATTCAACATTAAGTAAAACGAGAATAACTCTAGCTCGGACTTTGGACCTAATTCATTCTAGAGACTATATCATGACGTGAAGATTTCTCAAAGAACGAGAAAACAGCCTATTGGCTCCACTAACGTGGGAAACTCAGGCAAACAGAAACTACATAAAATGGTACAAAGAGCCCATGTGACATTGCTGCAGCCTAAACTTTCTCATAGGTATGCTCATGTCCTTATCTAAATCCTAATATCACTCAGATAAAATCTCCTTAATTCACATCATATAGGCAAAGATTCTAAAGACTGCCACTGCATGGTTTAAACATGATCTCTCTTTAGTTCCGCGTAATAAGGTGTACCAGAAAACAGAAGGACTAACACAACTCAACAGCGTTATCCACATGAACATGAGTCATGAGTGCGTGGAAGATAAGAAATGACTGGACAAGAAAATGTACAGCTCACTGACCAAGAAAACAAGTTACACTAATAGAATAGTACTGGTATCGACGTTTGAATATGGGTCTTTTATAGGGATGCAGTTGTTGAGAAAGGTGTTAATTAAGTGAGTTATCTGGCTATAGCAAATAAGATGCGCAAGTTTCTCCACAAATTATGTTGGAAAAATCCCAAGTACATGAAGCCCATGCTTCCTTACTTCATCAAACAGCGGAATTACTAACGTACCTTTAGAAATTAGTGATATTAATTCTAGAAACCAAGTACTAGAGGCTCTTTCTAAAAATGATTGTTAATTTCTTGAAAACGAGATCCTAGATAAACTTTTTTTAAAAATATACAATCAGATCTCGGATGAGGAAATCTATTAAGAAAGTAGAAACAAGCTAAGTACGTACATACCTGGAGCTTGAAAATTCGTAGAGTCTTCCTTTTTGTGAGAAAATGATGACAGCAACTTCAGCATCACAAAGAACTGATAGCTCATAAGCTTTCTTCATAATTCCATTTCTACGTTTCGAAAAAGTCACTTGCCGGCTCGTGGCATTCTCAATTCTCTTCATTTGTACCTTCCCTCTCACCATTTTCCTGCACATTAATATTTTCGTCACAAGTAATAAATAAATTCTAAAAACAAATACCATATAACTATCAGAATAATATAATTATCCTACCAAAGATTAGCAAGAAATTGAGATAGCCTGTTGGTATTAAGCTTGGGAATTGAACATGATGTTGAACAAGCAGAAAGCTGAATATCGAACTAAAGATGGTTAGAAGAAGAAATTTTGTGAAAGAAATAGTAAGAGCCCAAAACCCTAAAAATAGCTAAATAAAAAACTGAAGCTTCCAGCTGACCTTACAGAAGAAGAATAAAGCCCGAAAAGTTGATAAACCCTAGCTTTGAGAGTAGCTCGGAAACAGAAAATAACATTCACCTTGAAAAGAATGAAGCATAAGAAATTTAACCCAAAAGCAAAATAAGCCCCAAAAAGGGATTTTGCTGGAAAATGGAAATAGGATGAAAAAGAATATATAAGCAACTGGATTCGAAGAAGAAATTAAAAGCACTAACAGACGGACAATGACATGAAATTTGGGTTATTCTTCGTTGATGTATCAATCTCTTTATTTTGAGACCAGAGAGAGTCCAATATTTCCTAATTCATCGTATTTTTCTTATTCCCTTTGTCCTTCACTATCAGTCTTAGCCACAAAAAAGGAAAAGCACAAAAAAAGTAAAATTAAGAAAGTCCCAGTCCGAGCAAAAGCGCTCATTGTTACCTTGTTTTGGTAAATATAAAAAATAGACACTAATCATACAGAAACGGTAATCTACTGGGTCAGAAATGGGAGTATAAATTATTTTATACTGCAAAAAAAAAAGTTCTAACGGGCCGCCCGGTGCACTAAGCTTTCGTGCGGGGCCCGGAGAAGAGCCGAACTATAAGGGTTTATTGTACGCAGCCTTACCATGCATTTCTGCAAGAGGTTATTTCCACGAAATCAAAATAAAGATTTTTCGTTCATTTAAGTTATATATTTATAAACAAATTTATACTATCAATATAATTTAATCATATATAAAAGGTTTATTTATTTATTTTTCCGGTTAATATACCACGGTTTGACAAGAAAACTACCCGTCGTTATAGATCAATTTAATTTTATATACTACTACTTATTAGTACGTCTCAATTCCAAATAAGCTAGAGGTATCTATATGAATTACGTTATTTCATTTATACTAGTCTTATGGCAATTCAATTTAACCAGGTAATATAAAAAAAATTATAATATCACCATAAATATTTTTTGGGGGTGTTAAATAAAAAAAAAAGTTTATGTATAATTAGTGTAACATCTAAACCAATTAGGAGTATGAATAGGGTGGGGTTAAGAAGTGATTAATTTTTAGGGTGGGAATGGCTTATTGATGTGAACGCGTCAACATCATCGTACCATGTGATGTATCAACAAATAATGGATTGACACGCATAATATCTATTTATGTTTGGCACTTAGGGCCAATGAGAGTAAAGTCTGTCACGTTGCTACCTTTAACTTCGTTTGATGCGTCCATTCACTTTGGTGCTAAGACTACTCTGTAGTAAACTATATTATGTTGTGCAGTTGTGCTTTATATCCTAGACCTCAATATTCCAACCTTGTTCATAGTGTAATTGATAATGGTGGACTGTTGGTGGGCCATACGGTATTTTTCTTTTACTAGTATGATGTTTCTGTTTGGTTTAGAGATCTCCCTATTTTGTCTGATTACATGTCTATAAATGGCGAAAAGTGCATATTTTTTTTAGTATATATGCATATTATTTCTTACGTGAGTTGCAGGATATCACATGGTTTTTGAAGTGAAAAATATGCTATTTACGTATTTTTTTTATGTGTAGGAATGAACTTGCACGGAAAAGAATTAAATAGGAGAAAAATTGGCAAAAATAGAGCTAGAGAGAAAAGCCTTGGACAGCGAAGCGAGGTTCGCTTTGCCAGATCGAGACCGGAGCAGAAAAAATCAGCAATTGGGAGCGGTCTGGGGTGCGCGTTTGGACGCGCCTCCAGCTTCTCCAATCCGAAATAGGAGAAGTCAAATCCACCCCAACTCAACCCTACTTCATATAAATATGATAGTTAGCCACTTTTTGAATGAGAGAAGATTTTGGGGAGGCAAGAATATGCTTGAAGCAAGGAGAAGTATTCAACTTCACGTTTTTTCTCTTTCTTCCTATATTTTCATTGTTATGATATCTAGTGTTGTATTTTTACATACTAGCATGAGTAGCTAATTTCTTGTCTAGGGTTTTGATGGAACTTTTTGGAGGATGAGTTCTTGTTACGTTTTTAAGTAATTGAGCCTTTGAATTTCTCGACTTGTTTCACTACATGCTTATTTCAGTTGATTGAATAGCCATCGATTGACTGTGCCTATTTATTAAGATTGCTTGAAAAAGGGTATATCTTTAGGTAGTTGTTGAACAATTTCACTCCTAACATATGTGATGAATCAGTGCGACGGGTTTAAAAGATGGTCTAGGAATAACAAAGCCTTGACGTGGTTATATAGTGAGCGGTAAGATAGTGTCACTTAGCGTCGTTCGGGAGAATATGTCTAGTAAATTGTTATAGCTGCTTGGGAGAGAATTATAACACCTGAAGTGCTCACGATCAATAGAGAATACTTAGTTGAAATTACAGGAGACGTAGCTGGAAGGATTCTACTCTAGACCTCCTTAATCTTTTCTCCAACTTCATCATCGTTAGTTGATAATTTTACTACTTTATAGTATTTGTTATTTAATCAGTCTTTATAATTTAGAAAATTATTCAAACTTGTCTCTTAGTGATAAGAACAGTTGTAGTTAAACTTTAGTTCTATGTGGGATTTGACTCCGGACTATTAGACCGAATTATATTTGCAGCGATCGCTTATCCTTTTTAGGATTAGAATTGGGCATGATCAAATTTTGGCGTCGTTGTCATAGAACTAGCGGTGTAGTTATAACTATAAATATTGCTTGGTTTCAAGTTTGAATTTTTTTTTTTGTTTTGTTTTCTTGTATTTTTTAATCTTACTTGTTGATTTGAGAAAAATGACATCTTGAAATTTTGGAAGTTTCAATATTGGTATTTCTACTTTTGATCTTCCTTATACTTCCCCAATCCCTTATGATGATGGTTCTACCTTTTCTTATAAAGTTAATAGGAATAAAGAACCTGAGGATGCTGAACTAAAGAAGATCATGGATATATTAAAGTGCCTTGTGGAACAATATGATGTGAAATCACTGAGGATACAACGGTAAGAGACAACTATTCGCAACTTGGAGGCTCAAGTGAGTCAACTAGTTAAACCATGTAAAGTGCAACAACCTGACATTTGTGGATAGTAGCCAAGAAAATCATGAATTAGCGGCAAAAATTGACATTATAATAGAGGAGCTGAGAGTAGAATATGACCAAACCAACTATAACGACCTGACCGGTCGTTTTGAGCTCTAGCTCGTCGTTCATCGATTTGAGGCCATGAGTAGCTTTAGTTCAGGTATTATGACTTGTACGTGTAGTTGGAGTTGAATTCCAGGAAGTTCGGAGTTGATATGGAAAGAAAATTCTAATTTCGGAAGCTTTAAGTTAAAAGAATTAGCTAAGGTTTGACTTTTGAGTAAACGACCTCGGAATCGGGATTTGAAGGTTCCGATAGGTTCGTATTATGATTTTGGACTTGAGCGTATGTTCGGGTTGAGCATCCGATCACCCGGGAGCAATTCGACGCTTATTATGTAAAGTTGGCATTTTTGAAAGTTTTAGAATTTCATAAGTTTGGTGTGAAGTGGATTTTTATGTTATCGATGTCCGTCTGGAGTCCTGAGCCTTGGAATAGGTTCCTATCATGATTTGGGACTTGCACATAAATTTGAAGGTTGGAAAGTTGAAAGAAAGATTTTGGCCGTCGATTCATAGTTTCGATATTATTTGAAGTGATTCGGGATTTCGACTAAGTCTGTATCGTGTTATGGGATATGTTGGTATGTTTGGATGGGGTCTCGGGGAGTTCGGGTTTGAAACGGATTGAAATCGGATCGAAATTTGAAATTGAGGCAAAGCTGGAGAATTTTGGTTGCTGGTGCAACCGCTTTTGCGGAAGCTTCACTGCAGAAGCGACCTTGTATAAGCGAGGCAGTAAACTGCAGAAGTGGCTAGGAGTGCACAGGGCAGAGATCGCAGGTGCAAAGAAATTCCCGCACCTGCATGATCACAGATGTGACCACTGGAGCGCAGAAACAGATTTTGCTGGGGAAGGCTGGGATCGCAGATGCGTTCGAGTTCTACAGAAGCGGAACCGCACCTGCAGATGAGGCGCCGCAGAAGCGAGGGTGCAGAAGCGCTGGAGGAGACGCAGATGCAGTAGGCGACTGGCCTGGGTTCTCGCATGTGCGAGATCGAAGCCGCAGAAGCAGCTGTCGCAGAAGCGACCAGGTGACTATAGATGCGAAAGGTCGCTCGGCAGTGTTGTTATAAAAATGGGGGTTTGGCCCATTTTCACTTCATTTCGTCCATGGGAGCCGATTTTGGAGCAAGTTTGGAGTGCCATCTTTATCATCTATTATGGGGTCAGTGATTTCTCCACATTGTGAGTTAAATACATGATTAATATGTGGATTAGAACATTGAAATTAGTAAAAATTTGGCATTTTGGTAGAAAACCTAGAAATTGGTATTTTTAGAATTGGACCTAGAAATTAGAATAAATTATATATTTGAGCTTGTAGTGTTAAGGGTAGAGTTTATCTTCGAAAATATTCGGATTCCGGGCATGTAGGCCCGAGGGTTGATATTATTGACTTTTCGAACGAAGTGGAGAATTGTTATAAATTGTTAAATTGTAAGCATTGGAGTATATTTTAATTGAATTAGACGTGGTTTGACTAGTTTTGAGACGTTTGGCTTTGAGTTGAGGTGTTGGGAGGTGTTGGAGCCGGTTATAGAACTTTGGAGCGAGGTAAGTCTCCTGTCTAACCTTGTGAGGAGGAAACTACCCCTAGGTAATATTTATTGTTATGTGCAACTAGTTGTGGGTTCTACGTACGCACGAGGCGACAAGAGTCTGTATGTAGCTAAAGCATGTTTATGTTCGGGTAGACTTAGGACTTTATCATGTAATAATTGAATTATTTCAACTCGTTCTGCTAGCTTAATTAATTAAATTTATAACTGAATTTGATTTAGAAATAAATATATGTATACTAGGCCGAGCCTTAACACTTTGAGTTGTGGGTGAGTTATTTGAGAAACGGTAAAGATTATAATTATTTTGTGATCATGTACTGTATTGTAAACACGTGTTTCGTAATTCAGTAACTTCCTTCCTTTCTTGTGGAGCGGGCCGAATTCCTTGGCAGTATAATAGATGCATCTATGATTCGTGCCGCTCGACCCTCGGCAATGTACACATTATTCTGGATCGTGCAGAACGACCTCGGCAGAATCGTGCGTTATATCGCTAGTAGTCCGAATATTCATGA